ATTCTTAAACGCATGTCTGAATTAAAAAGGGAGTCAATAAATTGTTCTTTCGCTAATGTTTCTTTTACATCACCAGGGGCTGAAGGATATGCCAAATTTGTTAAACGTCTGATATCTTGGGCCATTTCTGATAAAGTTTCAGTGGCTTTCTGGCGTCTTTCCCGTAATTGTACTCTATAGAGTTCTGTCTGATTTGGGGGAGCAAATCGCTCTTGAAGTGCATTGACTAATTCTGTATAACTACTTGAATTTCCTAAATTACCAAAGATACCTTGAGCATTTCCTCTCAAAGATACAGCAAGATAGAGACCTTTTTGTTTATATGACCAGTTATTGATTTCGGAACAAGCCTCAAAATGAGCTTTGTAGTCTATCCAAGACCCGGTGCCATCAAATGTTGCTGGTTTCATAAATACAGAAGACATATTTGAATTGATTTTAGTGGAAGTATCTGATTTCATATTTTCATAGTATATTTCTCCTTGGGTTTTTCGTCTTCTTGTCACATTTCTATCCCATATTTCCGGACTTAAATCTCTGTCTTCTTGTTCACTTCTGAAAGTATTGCTATGCGTTTTACTTTCAGTCATAGGAGTTGAAAACCTAATACGTGGTTCAGAATTCAAAAAGATCTTTGACATGTGCTCTCGTTTTTCTAGAATTTTACTTTCAGGAATATGCGGCAATTGTCTTTTTCTTTGAGAACTGAAAGGTGTATTATGACTAGTATTTCTAGATATCTGAATATTTGAAGTACTTTGTAACTTAAGCAATTGTTTTTCTAAAAGCTCTATTTCGTTTTGCATTCTCAAACTTTCATTCTCTTTTCTCAACATATCTATCTCTTTGAGATAAACAGACAAATCTTCAGGATTTCTAGCCTCAGCCATAATTCTTAAAAATAAATACGTCAATATAAAAATTTCAACAAACGCAGGTAAGTGATAATGTTATTTTATCAAAAAAGAATCTATTTGAAATCTATCAAATTAGATATATCCCACCGCTGCCACCAATTTTGTAGCGTATACCGAGCTGTTAGTTATTTAATATATAGCTACAAAATAAAATCACAATGTTCTCAAATAATCTTGACATTCTTAAATGCAAATACATGTCATTTTTCTCGGGATACTTATCCTTATGATTGGAAAATAACTAAAAAAAAACATCATTCATTGCAAAATAACAATCTTGATATATTTCTAAAATCATTCAAAAATATATATTCCAAGACACATTTTCCCCCTAAAAACAATTCTCAAACAAGTACCAGTCGAAAGCTAAACCTACCCTTCATCCCATACCTTTACATTTCAACAATCTCTTATCCTACATTCCTTTCTAAAGATACAACAATTCACACATTGATAACAAATAGTTCCTCAATAATCATTTGCCTTATAAATATATAGCATCCTTAGTACCAGATATCCGAGATTTCTGTGTACTAGTAACTATATATATATATAAGCTTTAACTTCAACCATAATATTTCTAATCAACCGTTTGCCCGAGAGGTCTTACTGAAACAATAGAACATTTCAGTACCAGATATCTGAGATTCTGTGTACATGAAAATGCTACTATCATTACGATCCAACTCTTACAAGGACATAACCAAACATATTCCCTAAAATACTTAAACTAAACAATTACTCAGAGATTTGACAGATATAGTAAAACGTCCTTAGTGCCAGATATCTGCGATTTCTGTACACTAGTATGTATTTACTACGTCGTTCCCTCCTTTACACATACATATTCAAACCAACTTAAAATACCCATTTCTCAAACTTTCTTCTATCGAACGTTTGTCCATGAGGTTTCACAGAGGCAGCAAGATATTTTTAGCACCGGATATCTAAGATTCATCGGCACTAGTAAATATAATACTGCACTGATCTGCCTCACGGACGAAACCAAACTGACTTTTGCACTGTGAACGCTCTATTTATACTAGTGATTGAACCATCTCCGCAGTGAATAAAAACAATAATTTTGATTGGCTTATAAAAATAAAACGTTTCTTGATACTGATTCTAACAAAATCTTATAAACGTCTGTTACTTAAAGTTATTTCTCTTATGAACTACTGTGAACAACAGATAAACAATTTCAAATATAAACACTTTGAAGGATACCATAAAGTTATACTGATTCTAACGTAAAGATGATTAAAATATCTACTCTTTATACCATGATATATTTACAAATACATGATTATATTTTTCCAATACAAATGGCGAACTTATAGAAAGGGGAGGCAATAAAGTTACCCATCAAGTACGTTTCCGTCACATTACCCACGCCTCCGACTTCATGCGCCCCGCATGTTTCTGATTAAATATCTTTACCTATACATGATTAAAATGGTATGAAATCTTTAACTTGATTTAGCAAAAATACATCTCAGAATTTACAAAACAAATTACATAAAAAATTGCGTATGCAATCACAAACTAAATATCAAACTAACTTTTCTTTAATGCTTTAAAACAAATATTCCAAAAATTACACAAACTTTATTCATTGCTTTTACATATAGACCCACATCAAAAGTGTAACTAATTTTCTATTATAAAATTATATATCTAACAAATATTTCTGGTTCTTGTCTTGAATTTTAAAACATGGTTCAAAATTACAAATATGTTCGACATAGTCTCTTATTTTGTTTTACTTTTCAATTAACCTATACTAAGCCATAGTCTTTTTCTGAATCCAAAAAATACAAATTTAAAACAAACGTAGGTAAGTGATAAAGGTTTATTTATCAAAAGTCCATTTGAAATCTATCAAATAAGATATATCCCACCGCGCTGCCACCAATTTTGTAGCGTGTACCGAGCTGTTGGTTATCTAATCTATAGCTACAAAATAAAATGATTTTAAACCACAAGATTCTCAAATGCAAATATATTATTTTTCTTGGGATACTTATCCGAAATGATTTGAAATATTCAAATATAAATTTTCCTTGTGGTTTCTTAACCTTTTGATTATATTTTAACTTAATAAAAAAACTCTAGAAATTATAAAATGCAAAAATAACAATCTTCAACTAATACTTTAATTATCCAAAATATATATTTCTATTTATTCTTACTTTCAAACTAAAATTTACATTCCTAAATCTATCTCTTATTTCTAACTTTAATATTTCAAATCAACAAACTCTTATCATAAAACGTTCAAAAACGGATTCTTCTAATAATGTTTTCAAATAAACTCTTCTCTATCAAACACTTGTCCAAGAGGTTTTACTTAGGCAATAAGGTATTTTTAGCACCAGTATCTAAGATGCCTGGCTACTAGTAAATACAATATTACCTATATCCAACTCTTGCAAGGACAACAGGCAGACTAACTATTTAAATCATAGAAGTAAAGATATTTTTAGCACCAGTATCTAAGATGCCTGGCTACTAGTAAATATAATTACAACTTAACGGTCCGGAGCCAAAACCAAATCTAACCAAAAATATATTTCTTCAAATAATTTATGCCCAAGGAATTTTACAGAAATCATAAAACGTCCTTAGTACCAGAAATCTGAGATTTTTGCGTACCAGTAAGTATTTATGACTTCGTTTCCACTCTCCAACGGACAGGACCAGACTGAATTTTAACACTGAACTCGCTCTATTTATATGCTGGTGAAGCATCATCTCCGCAGTGAATAAAAACAATGATTTTGATTGGCTAAAATAATAAAACGTTTCTTGAAACTGATTTTAACTAAACTTTATAAGCGTCTGTCACTAGAATTGACTTCTCTTACAAACTATTTTGAGTAACAGATAAACAATTTCAAATATAAACACTTTGATGGATACCCTAAAATTTATACACATTTGATAGTAAAAATACCTAAAATACCTACTCTTTATATCATGTCAAATTTAATAGATTACTTTATTAATTCTTTAATACAAATGGCGAACTTATAAAAAGGGGAGGCAATCAAATCAACTATAAAGTACATTTTCGTCACAATTATTCCCCCGCATGACCAGGTCTTGAAATAAGTAGTAAACAAAAGGGCATGTTAGTAGATAAAGAACTGAATCAACAATATTTACCCGAGAGTGGTTTTGTTGTTATTTACTTTGAAATACACAGTGTGTGTACCATTCAGACTGTATGATTTTTCAATCGAAGCAAAAAATAAAGCACTATTCAGCAGTAATAGCTTTTGTCCGGTAAACTGATTGTCCGGTAAATATGTAGGATCCCAGTATTGTATAAAACTGATACAGACAAAAAACAATTATAAAAGAAACTAACTTTTGCGTCTTGAAAAACAATTGAAACGGAACGATTTCGTTTATAATTTATTACGGTAATCAAGTAAGAATAGAAATCCTATTTATATAAACAAACTGGGATTACCGAAGTAACTAAAATAGCTTAGATTTCCGTTATATTACTTAGTATGACGGAATCGCCCGAATTGTCACGATTGCAATCGGAACTACATCGGCTATTATCATTAATCCGAAGAGTGACGGAAAAGGCCGAAAGGTTGCGATTGGCACGATTGCAGCTGGTTACCCGTTCAATCATGCACCAACAGATGTAAGCAGGAAACCACCTAACCGGAACAAGTTTTCCATATGAAATGGCTTGCAGCCGTGGCTGCAAGCCAAAAAGTAAAATGTCATGTAAACAAAAAAGTAACTTACACATTGCAAACGGCACTGAAAATCTACGGAAAATATCAAAAATAGATCGCAATATTCAAAATACCCTTACTGCGTTCGACATGCAGATGAATATGATGGCAAATACTGCAAAATCAGTCATTAAACTCGTGTAACACGTAAACTATTACTTAAATCGTTTTACTTTCTAAAAAAATTTAGAACATTTTCAAAAAAAAATGCACACAGAGAAAAAACCATACGCACGCACGCACGCACACACACATACACACATAAACAACAACAACAACAGCAGCAGCAGCAACAACAAACAAACATGCAAACAAGACTCACTTGCGGTATTAACTGTAATTGGTGTTTTAAAGATTGTATGCATGACATCGTCGGTGATCACGGAGAACACTTTATCCCAATGTGTGGCTACATCAGACAGTTCTTTATGATTGATTTGGTCTCCCGTAGCAACGGCAAAGATGTCGACCCCAGTCTGCTTCAAAAGGCCTGCCTGTAGAACAGTGTCAGTCGGGTTGCTTGACATGCCATCACTTAAAACAATGACAAATTTACGTGCGTAATATCTAGCACCTTTTTCAGAAGTGAATATTTCCGTCCTTATAAACATAAAACATTCACCTATAAAACTTGGTCCGTTGTCAGATTGGATACTGTCTATTATTGTTGTCATTTCTGCTACAGTTAAATTGCTGTTCAAATACATCTCAACGCTCGCATGTAAAGAACATGTTACTACGGCAATTTGAAAATCATTTGGTCCTATTGATAGGTTTGATATGAAATTCTTTATATACTGTCTCTGTTTAAACAGAGCAGCTTCACTTTGACTTTTGGAAGTATCAATTAACAACACAACATCTACATACGTGTCTGAAATATACAATATAAATATGTTCGTGAAGTTGGCAGCCAAGCAGTCTGGAGTTGGCAGCCCAGCAGCCTAAAGAAAACTAAGATTACTACAAACATGAAAGCGGTCGGAAATGTATTATGTACACTTCCTTAGATCATACCAAGCTTTTATTCAATATCTTGATCTTAATTTTTTTATATGTATTCTTAGTTTTCTTTAGGCAGGTACGCTGCCTCTTTCACAAATTTCGAAACGTCAGGATGAAAACTTTTAAAGTTCAGCTTGTCCTGAAGAACAGAAATAAAATCAAAAATAAGGTACGACAATCTTTAATATCTTTATGTTTAAAAGAAAATATTACAGAATTGTGTGTTATGTGAGGACAAAATATATTTCCACTTTCAAAGAAATTTTATAGTGGCTTTATAATAATTTTAAAAACAATTTGTTTCTTCTCAGGGTATAACTTCAAGTTTTATCAAATAAACCACACTCTGAAAATAGAATAACCCGTACTACACAGGAATACTAAGTTTATGGAACATTACAGTAAATATCTAAAGTAGAATTATCTTTTTTTCGTTCTGGACAACATTATTCATCATTTTGGGATACTTAAAAACTAAAGTACTGGCTGAATAAAAAACAGTGCAGACTACATGAATGTGGCGGATGACCTTGATGCATTGTCTGATTCAGTTGTCACGTGACCGACAGGGTTTCATACATTTATGTCAAGATTCCAAGAATAGAAGATAGGAACGTGTTACAGAAGGTACATCGTTTACCAATATCGCAATTCTTTCCACCATAACCGGATCTACACTTGCATGCATACGACATGATTCCAAAATCAGTACACGTGGCATCGTTCTTACATGGGTTGCTCAGACATGCGTTATCTAAAAATAGAACAAGTAAAATGGTTTCCTGCGGGGAAATTTTTAATGATATAAAGATATTTCATTTAACTATTTTCAACATTGTTTTGGGAGAGGGGAATAAATAAACGTTTGTATCAGGAATATAGTTGACAAAAATCGATCAATACAGAAGAAGGTCTTTGGAAACTGGTGACCGCTGATGACCGGAGAAGGTCGAATATAAAACAATTATTTCTTTTTAAGAAAATGATTAAATAGGCCTACCATTTTATGAATAATTCCAAGCAAAAAATAAATAAATAAAGTAAACAGACAAGTTTAACGCAGAAAAAATATTTATTTATTATGGCAGTTGCCAATACGAATATTTTAATTTTGTAGATTTTCAGTATAAGCAATTTATTGTTTGTAAAATTTGAGATACATATATTAAAAAAACAATGATAATTTTCAAATACATCATTCAAGTTTTTCAACCTTAAACGGTTAAATAATTATAGAAAATTAGAAATATCACGTATTAGTTTTTTTTTTGTTCTTAATTAGGTATAATTCTGACTAATTCCCTAGAGGTAATTCTGTAACGTACCGACAAACGGTATTTAGCCAGGTTTTCGAAAAGGTCAATTAACCAATCATGTACGGTTTACAGATCACATGCTCCTCCATGTACCGAAAACAGGTCACGTGCTCCTCCATGCCTCAAAAGTTAAACCGGTCTCCAGTCTCCAGACCGCAGGGAATAAAGCAAGCTTCTATCTACAGCAATGATGGTAGTCACGTGATATAACAGAGACATTTAAAAGCTTATGAAGATTTTAAGATATTTCTTCCTAAGAGTAGGTCAATCATTATTAAGAAAAGAAAAGGTGCTTATATACGATTAAAATGTGTTTTATTATACTTGTAAATTTAAATTTATATCTATCTATTAAGCAAACAGAATAACAAGAATTTTATAGATACATTGTAATATGAAAAAGTAACTTACACCCACATTTCGTTTCCCAGTGAACAGGACAAGGTGTTTTGAGATAGCATATTTGTGTTGAACTACATGGTGTATGGCGGGAATGACAATAGTATTCACGATCTGATTCTTGCTATAATATAAATAAAACAACATATTTATGGTTAAAGCATATCACTCATCACCTATATGATCGGGAAAAGAGTGAAAACCGGCTTGACAAGCGGCGAGTGACTATGTAACAACGCAGATTTTGACCACTGAAATTCGTTACACAGGTAAAAAAGATTTTTTTTTTAACATCAGACAAACGGCTGAATTTTAGGATCATAAATATTAAATCAATATAAATGAATGTTATCGATATTTTTAAGAGTTAATGACAATGGTACACTGAAATTAAAGAATTAATAATAAAAATTAAATAGCGAATTGTGTAAGTGTCGAATCTAATATACACTTTAATGCTATTTTTCTTTTATTTCTGTATTGAAAATGAGCAAGAAGATTAAATCAATTGATTTCCTTTTCAAAATGAAAATCTGAGATTTTTCTAAAACAGATTTTATTTATTTTTGTCAAACATTTAAATACAGGTATCGACTATTTTAAGAGATCACGGAAACGTCTGTAAAACTATAAATAATTATATTGTAAAATGTGTTTATTATACGGGATCAATGCACTTTTATCACATAACCGTGCCGTTTTTGCGACTCCGTAAGAATGGTATTGTACGGCCGTGCATATATTTTGACGTGACGTCATTTGCGTTCTGAATTGCTAAATAATACATGGCCTTGAGGGCAATATGCAAGTTTACGGACTGGTTGGTCAGACTGAGGGAGGTATGTGGCCCGAAGCGCAGCTGAGGGACATATACCTTCCGAGGTCTGACCAACCAGTCCGTCAACTTGCATTATGCCCGAAAGGTCGTGTTTTATTTGTTACATTATACCGCATCTGAATCCTTTCATCCCTTTTGTTGCTGACATTTACACTATAATACGAAAGCCTAATAGTGTCAAATAAAATAAAAAAAATAAAAATGCAAAGGCGTTATAACGCGAATAAAGGCATTATTACGCGAATCAAAAGGCGTAATAACTCCTTTATTCGCGTTATAACGCCTTTGCATTTTTATTTTTATTTTATTTAACACTATTCGGCTTTCGTACTATAATTTACTTTCAATTAATAATTTATTTGTTCAGTGTGTGAAATATTTCAAACCCTAGTCGAAGTTATTATTATTACATGTATTTTCAAGCGATACAGCAAAAGAATCATGCTCTTCTTTTGTTATTCAATTTTCAATTTGTGTTTTTCAAATTAAACATGCAAAAAACCCCGAACTTTAAGATTTAATATGATGTCAACATCATCCAGTCCATATAATAATTATGGACCACCCCCGGTCTGTATGCCGTTAATGGACCGGATGACGTAATAGTGAATAAAGAAGGGCGTATGCAAATGAAGTATGATACACGCCAATGAAAAATGGATCTTTTTCACTTCAAACAAACGGTCTATATACGGTCGTATTTGGTATGTGATGAATAGTATATTAAATTCGCGTAAGTCAATTTCTGAATTTATCTAACTCGTTTAATAGAAGAGACTCGCAAAATATATTTTTATTCAACTTGTACAATAAATTCAGTATAAACTAAGATTCTATCAATTGTATTTATTTATGTCTTCCATAGAATACAGAACATGTTATATTGATGACGCCACTTACAGAGCATGCTGCCTTATTACATTCACAGCTCCTTTCGTTGTAACAATTTACTGAGACACCTATATGTCCAGTGCAGTCCACAGATCGGCGACCCCTGTGTACCTTGATGAACATTCTTGATTCCTTCTCTGTTATAAAAGGGTAGACTTTTGGCTGGAAACATTCCGTTGGTTCAACGTAACAATCAACTTTATTGCAGAATAATAACATATCATTATTTACAAAGTTTCCCTTTTAAACACACAAATGAGCCGCGTCATGACAAAACCAACATAATGCATTTGCGACCAGCATGGATCAAGACCAGCCTGCGCATCCGCGCAGTCTGATCAGGATCCATGCTGTTCGCTATAAGTTTCTTTACTTGTTATATGACTGGTAAGCGAACAACATGGATCCTGATTAGACTGCGCGGAGGCGCAGGCTGGTCTGGATTCATGCTGGTCGCAAACCCACTATGTTGGTTTTGTCGTGACGCGGCTCAAATATAAAACATAGTTTTTAACTTTAGTCATAAATTTTTATCATAATCGTCAATACATTGTTTAAACTCTCGTGATTATTTAATTAACTAGACCTTTAGAACGTTAGTCAAGTTTTCAACAACTTAGAATATTTTCTTGTTCTTTACGTATTTATTAATCATTTTCTTATTTGTAAAGACAACCTATATAGTTACCAATTGTATACCTGTCGTTAAATGTATATTTTGGTCATATAACTTTGGTTTAAACATATTTCTTCCACATATTTAAATTTAGCATACTATTTAGCATGATATGATATTAAGAACAATATTTACACAATTCATTTTGGAATGAGGCAGAAAGCTATGAAAGTTTATATGTGTGTCCCTTTCCAGTTATAACCGTTTACACATCTATACAGATCGTGGTTCTGTCATTCACAAAGTTCGTCCGGTCATATAATATACATATTGCATCTTTACAAACAGGCCTTACATATAATATAGTTACAAATCCTAGTGTATAGGATTACACGAAACAAAATAAACAGTACATACCATATGCTACCATCACACACATAGTTATACCAGCGATCATTACGTTTAAAGAAATAAAAGACATAACTGACGGTTTTTAAACGACTGAAAGAGCCAACATTTACACCCTTTAATGGTTAAATGACAAAAGAGGAAGTTTTCTTTAAAGTTGTATTTTAAACATAATGATTGGACTGATTTTAACATACTTCAGTTTTTGTGATCAATATAAATTGTAATTTTAAACCGTCGGTATTCAATATTGCAATCCTATTGAATATAATAAATATCAATTTTCAGTGTATTGTTGTAGAATAATTCACGTTTCAGTTCAAATGCACAGGAATATAATCACGAATGTCGATATATCAAAACATTTGAATGATAAACCGTTCTTTATAACATCATCACTCACGAAAAAAGTAATAACTGGTTCTATTCTAACATGTTTATAAAAAGGAGAATCGATTAAATTTGTTGAATGTATATATTTTCGGACTCTTGCTGGCACCGGGATCGCAGATACATGTACTTGCAACATTGAAACTTTTTAGTATTATCTTCCAGTATCGCTCACTGCAATACCGGCTCCAAAATTGACTTAAGTTGCAGGCGCCTAATGTTGCGAGCAATACCCCACCTAATAATGGTGAACATAAGTTATTGTAAAATCCGTTACTGGATGTAGAAGTTTTACTAAGGAAAAGCATTTTTCCATAAGCTCTACCTTTGAATAAGGCATGGGGAAATATTTCTCATGATGGTGAATATTCTATGAATTATTATTAAAATTCTTCCATGCATGTAGGAGATATACTCCAGAAAAAAATCAGGTTCATAAGCGCGACACGACTTGTGTTAGTGGTAGAAATTAATATGAAGTTTCATTAAAATCCCTCCATAGGCGTTGAAGATAAGCTTCGGACACGATCTGGATATTTCATCTTTAGTGACCTTGACCTTGCATATATTGACCTAAATTAGATATGTGACACATATATAGTCATAATAATAATGACCATTTGTGTAACAATCCATCAATAAATGATAACTTAATGGTCCCTATATACATCTTCATATTTTGTATCTGAACTTTCAACTCTATGTGTGACCTTGACTTGGGTCAAAAGGACCTGAAATTTCGCGCGACACTCCGTCTCGCGATAATGAACATTTGTGCCAAGTTAGTAGTACGTGTATATTGAAATCATTCTAAGCATATAGAGGTTTTGCTGCGGACAAACACTTTTAGATGACCTGTAAGAGTGACCTTGACCTAGAGACTTGTTTTGTATGCGCGATACGGCTTCTTATAGTGGTGGAAATTTCTTTGAAGTTAATTAAAATCTCTCCATAGGTGAAGAAAATTGGACGCCGCCCGCACGTACGCCAGGTACATTCCTATATTACGACCCGTTTTTTATCCAATGGACATATAAAAAATAAGTTAACTACATGTATATATGTATATCTGGTTAATGTTTATTCTGCATTATGTACACTAATGTGAAATCATATAGTTGCTTGTACAATTTGACAGCAAGTACGAATATAACTATGTAGCCTCGCAGACTTTTATTTTGTTTTGTTAAATTTGAAATGATAAAAATTATCTTAAGAAGTAATTTTACTTAAGCAATTTTATGGTTCTACAATATATATATATATATATATATATATATATATATATATATATATATATATATATATATATATATATATATATATATATATATATATATATATATATATATATATATATATATATATATATAAAATGAAATTCCTGTTCTATTCAATAACATTGTCTCAAAAATATTTCATACTGTAAAACAATGTGACGTAATCAATGCAAATCCAGGGCATAGCGTTGATAGTTTGACGTCCTTCCTAGCATCATTATTATTTAAAACAGTTAAATTACTTTTTATGTGTAATTTTATCATCAAGATCTGCTCCTCGTGATTCTGGTAGAAGTAAAGATGCTAAAATACAACAAACACACACACCGCAGCAGACGAAATACATAACTCATGGTATACGTGTATCCTGTATCATAAATTATAACATATATAACATATATAAGATAAGTAGAGGTTTTGATACTAAAGCATCACGTCGGTTTCTACCGGCGACTAACAAAAAGGTAAGATTTTGGCACAATGACCATACAAAACATGCGTACAAGAAACAGTGATAACCACACCAGCAGTCCAGTGATAACCATAGCAATACCAGTGATAATCATAGCAACACCAGTGATAACAACACTAAAATCAGTGATTACCACACCAACAGCAATGATAACCCAAGAAGGGTACATCACCATTTCCATTGCAGTCCATAGGTGTTGCTTGCATGAGGTACATGTATACACTTATAAAAGGTAACAAAGAAATACAATTTTTTTTTTATTTTATTTTTTTTTTTAAATGCGTTTATTTAAGGTCGCCGCCGGAAAGCCCATATGGGCGACCGTACACTCAAGTCGGGCCATCCTAGAGCGTCCCGCCGAGATTTTTTCGTCGATTTTTTTCCAGCTTTATTGGTGGAGGAAGACCCCAAGTGCCCCTTCGCGCATTATTTCAGGCACGAGCGGGCACCTGGGTAGAACCACCGACCTTCCGTAAGCCAGCTGGATGGCTTCCTCACATGAAAGATTTCGACCCGAGTGAGGATCGAACCTACAGCGGTGAGGGACCTGTGATCTCAAGTCAGCGACCTTAACCACTCGGCCACGGAGGCCCCTTGAATTACAAAGCTCATATAGCAGAGCACTTACAGTCACGGTGTTTATTATAGTTGTAAATATTTACAGGTATTAAATAGACGCAATCTTACATAGCCCAGAGTGACAGGTGAAAATTATATTGATACACGGCCATATTGCTAAACAGTATCTTAATATATCCTTTATATATGGTGAAAATAAATACCAGATAGGCAAGTTGTGGTCCGATTACTGCTCCTATTCTAGCAAAGGTGTTTAGGAATCCATAACCGATACTTCTGTAATATGATCAATTTTTGATATTCAGTAATCATTTATAACAAAATATCATTGTTTTTATTCACGTTAAAACAAGCAATATAATAACTTTTTATACATATAAATTAAATAAATGAATTTATAATAAAGTACATTTGTACTTAAAGTACTTTGTCATAAATAACTGTATCACAGTAGATTTTTTAAAATACAACAACACTAATCTAATCTACAGATACAGTTTGTTAGTTAATTGATAAGAATAAATAGCAAAATCCTTTTCTTTAAAACATGCCACTGAAAAACTGAAATGTTTACTTTCTAAAACATAAATTTGTGACACAAATAATGACATACATTGTAATTTAATGCAAACATTGTATCACAACTAGTTAAAAATAGTTGTCTGGTGTCCATAATGATAAAACATAGCCATCTGTTCTTTCAAGATTCATTTGAAATATTTAATATAAACGTTTGTTGTTTAACATTACCTGACAACTGTGGGGTATAATTCTAGAGACATAAGTTGTACTGGACCCCAGGCTACACCTATTCCAAGGCTAGCAAACAAGGCAAACCCATTTGTCAACGAATCTCTCATGTCCGTCTCTGAAATATTTAATTCATGTCACGTGTTTTTTTATTACCCTGGTGTATGTAATAGAACGTGGTTATATTATAACTTGACAGGGGATGTACAGACCGTCCAGGTTTGATACTGTTGGCTTTCCCAACTTAAACTTGATTATCTTAAATCATGCAAAGTTCAAGAAAAATTGCTATAGTTTTAAAGTTACTTGATTTCCTTTGTAAAAATTACATTTCCAATCTTCAACCTTTAAATTTCTACCTTCATATCCCCTAAGTGATAATGGACATGTCTTAATGAGTTCCTTTGAGATAATAAGCAGATTATGAGTGGATGTTCAGTGCAGGAATGTTTAATATTAATATGCTGTGTCAATATATAAACAATTATAAACAATTGGTGTTTAAAATATCTAAAGATTGTTTTGCTCTACTACACACCACAGTTAGATAACTCATTAATTTTTAAATGTGTAAATTACACGCACATTAAATTTTATTTTAAAATTGTAATGGCTATCTTTGAGTAGGTTTAAACCTCTTCAAAAATTCTTAAGTTTTAGAAATACCAAAACACATCGATTATTTTGATTACGAGTTGAATATTATATAGCCGAATAAAGAATTTCTGTTTCTATAGCCCTTTAGAAAATATGTTATATAAACGCACGTATAAGTTGTCTCCCTTAACAATGACTTTTATATTTAAGACAGTACGTACCTATATATTGAACTATTCCAACCACAAAACATCCAATAGTTGCAATAATATACGTAACAACGGCTGTTTTTCTCCGTCCAATTCTGTAAAAAATACTTATTTTAACCGAGAACAAAGATTCGTGTTTATAGAAATTGTTCAAGTTGATGATTTAATAATGTTAATAATACATAAACAATGTAATAGTAACTATCGTTTGCATGTCTTTCTGATTTAAGTCTCCAAACTGATCTATGTGAGAATTTAAAATGTTATGTTTTCTGATTTTGAACCTCAGTGGAGATACTGCAAATGTGAGGTACATGATCCAATATAACATATAATCATATAGCAGATAATAAAGCGTTCTAGAAGGGAATATCATTATTCACCATATTTAAAGGTTCATCCTTAATTATTTAGAACTTTATCAACTATTTTTAAGTAACATTTTATAAGAATATCTATATGATACATTATGAAATACTTATGAAAAATGAGCCTATTGTAGACCAATCTACTTTGAGCACTAAAGTAACTAATTTTGTATGATTAAAATTGTCCTTTTGGTATTATGATATCTAGAATGAATAGTTTAAAATCTTTAAACACTTACTTGTTACTGAGTATGATGGCTATAAAGGTTGTTGGAACGCTAATGATATTAAATAAAAACAAGTTGAAAAAGAAGTTGCCAGATAAAGCCTTTATCCCGTACTGAATTCCGTATGATAATAGTCCCAGAGCCAGCCTACATGTATGGAGAATATATACATTGATACAGAAATAGTTATCACTTTATTTATAAGACAACACGAACTGTAGAGCATTATAAACAATAAAAGAGGAATTCATTCTTACTAAAACATGCATAATTTTTATTGAGCTTTACGTTGAGTAGCATTTATTAGTCCAAAGAATAAAAAGATTGTTATATATAACAAATTTGTAAAGAAAATCATGTAGGATATACATATATGTACTTTACAGATATAAACATTTTAAATGAATTTTTGGCAAAAGCATTTTAATATTCAACAAATTTGAATGATTTGAATGAAACTTAATTAGTTAATCATTCCGTGTTAATGATAAAATGTAAAAAATATGTTTTAACGTTTAAGGTGACAACAGACACTTTCCGTGGTACTCACATAAATGTAATTTAAACCAAGTTATTTTAGTAATAATTGTTATTTATTTAATCTTTATGCATTAAATGTCGCTGATCAGCATAAAAAATAACATATTTGAAAAAAATGCTTTTGTAAATGATTGATTTTGAATAAAAATCCTAAAATTTTAAATCGTCATATCAAAGTCATTTTTTATTTTTTTGTCATCAAACTTTTGGAAAATAACCTTACTTATATTATCTGGGGAACCGTGTCTCAAATTTTTTCTATCTTTTCTCAAAAAAAATTTACGTAACGTCAAACATTTTATGCGACTTTTTTCACCATACATATTACGTAATTAAAGATAATTAAGTCGCTGATTGAGCAAACAAAAATCCCTGACACGGTTCCCTCCGTAAATGAATTTCCTTTCATGTGCTTTAAACCGCATGTTAATTGCTTGATTATTAAAAAAGTTATGCCGATTCAAAGTTAGTCCGACCGCATCAAACGAAGTGTCATAAATCGGCTGTTCTCTCTCGGACCCCTACGTTTCACGCTAAATAATTGCATAATACACAAATATCGCACCAGAGAGGGTCACAAGTTGCGGTAACATACACTAACAACATTTTATGACCCAGTGACATCTGACCAATTAAAAAGCTGCTGATTAATATCAGTTTATAGCCGAAATTTCTTCAATTCTTAACGTGATTTACTGTTCGTCTGGTATCTTTCGCACATGTCACGTGACTATCGGTAAAAGTTGAGGCACTCAGTGGGGGGAAATGGAACGCATTTGCGCACCGCTAGCGGGGTATTTAATTGTTTCCTTTTTGAAGTTTATTATTATTATCATCAGCATTATTATTGTATTATACCAGTGTCACTCTGCCTGTGTATTCGTGTATGAAATTCCGTTAAAATATAAAATAAAATAACAAAAAACTGAGCTTCTGACAGTCTTTTAAAGTCCATGGTAGATGTACAAATAAGAACAGGATATTATATATTTTTTCCACCAAATTGATAATGCTTCACATATTTTAATAGAAATAAAAGGTATTACTCGATCATTATGATATGGCCTTCTTGACTTCTATTATGAATATCATCTATGCACGGCATAGAGATCCAGTTTCTACCGGGATAGACAATAAATTTCATACTTTGTCCCAGATTTATTGGTACTGTGTCCGATTTACTGGTGAACAATTTATTTTCACTGAAAATATATTTTAATATCTTTTTTTTATTCATAGAGAAATAATCATCCTTAGACAATCTAAAATGGTTTAGAAATTTGTCAGGTACACCTTACCACAAGTCATATAGGCGTTCACATAAAAATGTTGTCTGTTTTTGTTGTTGTTTTACTCGACATTGATAGAAAACGAGGTTGAATGTAAAGTTAAGCCCTTGAATCCGTACAAAAGTCAACTCAATGTAATATCTATCAGATTAACGGGACAGACAAATTATTTTCACACATTATGGATATTTTAGCGACTACATTTTTATTCAACCCCGTGGTTGTGCGATTTGCCGCTATGCTTAATTATTTATGTTACGTACATTGGCCGACAATTTCTTAATTTATAAAAAAGGCTAAATGTTGAGATATTCATAAAAGATGTACGGTAGTTGTACGATACATGTATTACGAGAAGTATGGACCTGTAATTCACGGATATATGGAACTACCGATTTCCCTCATTGATGCCTCAACAGGGGGCGGAGCGTTATCGATAATCGACAGGATTACGCGAGTTACAGTTACAAATAGTATAGGTACCGTTTTAAAACGTTTAAAAACACATTTTTTGGACTAACTGCTTCCAAAATTAAATCACGAATGTGTTCAGAAAAGGTTGATAAATCTACTTAGCAAAAAATCTCATTTTAGGTATTTTCAGTGATAATTGACTCCGTTGTCACCTTAAAAATGCTCCGCGTATACACTATTTAACATCTTGTAATGCTTCCCAACTTAAAAAAATTGTACACGTAAAGTAGAATGTTTCCCAACTTTAAACACTTGTACACGTACAATAGAATGTTTCCTTACTTTAAAAACTTGAACACGTACAACTGAATGTTTCCCAAAATCTTAATCTTGAACACGTAAAATAAAATGTTTCCCGTTTTTTTTATTCTTGTGCATGTGCATTAGAACGTTTTCTATTATTCTATTCTTGTTACTTGTACACGTACAATAGAATGTTTCCCAACTTTTTATTATAGAATGTTTACCAATATGTTATTCTTGTACACGTACAATAGAATGTTTATTTACCAGTTAGTCATCGACAGTACCGTTATCTTGGCCAATCTCCGGGTATTGAACAAATTCCAGAGTGAATATTTCTTTCTGTCCCCAGATTTTTCATCAAGCGCTGTCGTGTTAAGAAGTTCAAGAATTGTTTCATCATTTACTGACTTTCTATTGAACTTTGCTATACGTTGTATGATATCTTTAGCTACATGAGTTCTGTCATGTGACAGGTGCCACCGGAAACTCTCAGGAAAATACCTGCAATACAGACACAATGACTACATATTTATAATCAATCTACATCAGGATTCTTAGAACTTTTGTCAGATTATTAAAAAAAAAAGAAAGAAAAAAAAAGAAGAGAAAAACAGAATCCCTAAAGAAAGACCAACACGACAAAATTGTAAAATGTTGCAGACTCGGATTGATTGAGCCTGTTCATGGACGGTACTGGAAAGTGCAAGTTACCGTCCACGCCCCTAGCACCAAAGTCATTTTAAATTTGTTTGCTTGAGTCGTACGTCACACATACATTGTTGATGACGTCATAAGGCGAACCGGAGGTTAGACAGATCTGCGTGCATTATTTAAAACAACTGGAAATAGTGAGGAATTTTGAATAACCTGATGAAGTCTGTAATTTGATTTAAAAAATGCACGCAAATTTACTAGACCGCTGTGTACAAAAGATCTGGTAGGTAGTTATACTATCCAATCTTTCTCATTTTTACAGAAGCTCCACTCCTGCCCCAGGAATAATGTTAAATGGATCTCAAATGTTATTTTATTGGTGTCAAGGATTATATCGTGTGTGATCAGAAAATTGATTTTAGATGGCTGATTGACAACGTGAGCGAAAATCAGTCAGTTATGTTGCTTGGTGGTTGAAATAAATATTGTCCAATGAGATCGTTCCTTTATTCAGTTAATCCGCTAAAACCTGTCATTTAATACTATACGGTTATATTTGCTTATCCTATTGTCAGCCAAACTCCCCGCAGCGGTTACTTCCCCTGATCAGTTAAAGTAGCAAAGCGTGACGTAACCGCTGTGAGCAGTTTGTCAGCGATTAAGTACGTCGTCCGGCTGCCGGCTAAGGAGCTCTTACCTATACTTAATCAAGCTTCAATAATAAATCTTATTTCCTGTGTCTAAGCTTGTCATCATAATTAACCTTTTGTCATCAAAATATTTATACACATTGTCCTGTTTCTTACCACCACAGGAGAAGAAATGGAATGGTTACTATAGTTGTTAGCAGATGAAGTTTTCTCCAGTCTGGCATCAGATAACTGACCAATGCTAGACCACACCCCATTAATGCCCATGTTGGAAACGCCACGATCCATGGTCTCCAACTGGATACACTGACCTCAGTGGACAGACTGTACTGAACTGTCAAAAACATTCCCATTCCGAGACCTGAATATAGAAATATAGTAAGTAATATACGACTGGTTAATGTACATAGTACTGAACTATTTATATAACTTAATTGTAATTTAACTGTAACTTAACTATAACTTGCTTAGAGATATCTGAGCTGTAGGTTAACCAAAAGTTAACTGTAGTTTAACCATACCTTTACTGTAACTTAAATATAGCTCATAGAGATAAACAATTCATGCATTTTAACTTCATACTAACTTTACCATAACTGTAACTTAACTATAACCGACCTGTAACTAAAATGTAACTTAAGTGTAACTAAATTATATAAATGAACCTTGAGTAAACCGTCAAAAATAAAGTATGCGAAAACTTGGAAAATCAAACGTAAATGAATAGATATACGATGACAATAATGACTAAAAATATCAATTAGAAAGGCCGGACGAACATACCACATATAGCACGTGCAACACCAAACATCAGCCAAGATGTAGAAAAATACCCTATCAAGTTAGCAGCAATAAGTAACAGCTGTGATGAAAATAAAGGCATCTTTCGACCGAAGCTATCCGCTATTTGGCCGCAAGCTAGGTTTCCAAATAATATTGCAAGCATTTGAATCGAGGCAATTGTTGAAGGAACCCACGGTAAGGTACATGACATTGACCACTGGGGAAAAAAACAAGAGAAAAAATATTTTAGGACATATAGAATAAGCAAATATTATTTTGTTATGTGAAAAATCACACTGAAACTTTAAAGGTTGTATGTCACTCCAGCTGTGCTTGTAGATGAGCACCCAAGGTACCACACCCGGGCATTTTAATTAGGCATAAGTAGGCACCCGGGTAAAAACACATACCTTTTGTATGCAATAAAATATGATAAACAAGATCAACAAAGAAAGGTGGTGTTCAATGACCGCAAACCCCACACGACCCATCAACAAAGACCAGCAAGTTTAACACTTGATTCGAATCCATATTGGTAAGGGTTGAAAAATACAAAATCATTTTTGCAATATTTGATGCAAATCTTCCATTTTGTTGTTAAAAAAATTATGTTATCAACCAAATTTTTGTTTACCGGTGGTTTTTTATTCAGACCAGTAAAGTTTCATCAACATGGCGTGGTATATTTTTTCATAAATGTATGCTACTATATGTAGTTTTAAGAGGTATAGCCCTGCTTTATATTTGGATTTGTTTTTTACCATTTTACCAGTCCAATAAATTTAGGAGATTATATATTGTATAGTGACTATATAATGAATGTAATACAATTTGACTGCACACATTTACAAATTGTATTTAAGTATTTAACTGATAACATTATAGAGTTCGCTCACTTAATAAAAATCTGGAAACAAAGTGATCCCTCGGAAGCATTAATCACAACAAAATTACAAGAGAATTGCAGACTCGGGTTGATTGAGTCTATACATGTAACTTTGCTATAGTCACGGTAGTTAAGGTTGCTTTAGTCCAATACGCAACTATCCATTGCTCGCTTTCTTTTTGAAACAAGCAGCTTGATCTTATAGAAATCATACAATTTATTACATGCTTTTCGGTGGTTTATAGAAATATATCAGTGATATAAAATTGGTAATTTCACTGTTTGAAACAGTGAAATTACCACTTTGATAATTTCACTGTTTTGAATTTAGGCCCCTTACATTGTTTCAGTGAAATACCAGCGTGCACAGTACTGGGTACCAACTTAATGATGTGATGACGTAAATGACGTCACGTTGTATTATTATTTGGCGCGCTTTTCATTCAGTATTAGGTTAAATGTCTTTTTAAAACGTTTCTTTGCATGTAATAAAAAGAAAATTTGTTAAGTTTAGTGTAAGATTGAAATATATTTCACCTTGTGAACACCAAAAGTTCATATTTCACTCGTGGCTGCGCCACTCGTGAAATATACCTTTTGGTGCTCACTCGGTGAAATATATTCCGATCTTACACTGAACTAAACAAATATCCTCTATATAATCATAAAACAGCTTAAACTAGACCTTGACAATAAACACATAGAAATACAAGCTCCCTTTCGTAGTCGTGTAGACTACCTACCTCAGACACTATCGTTTTCATTTCATCACTGTAAACTATATTATTACACCGGGTACCATTTCTGTTTTCACATGCTTTGATATTGCTGTACGGTTTTGAGTGATTTGCTGCACCAAAATAGTCTATATCAGAAGAATTTGCGTAAGTTGAATTAACATGTAGGAAAGTTGACGTATTAAAAGCTGCAGTCACATGACTTGGCCCGTTGTCATCCATACATCGCCATTCGGGCGTTGCTATAGAGATCACCATTAGGTACATTGTTAACACAGTCGGCAATTTCATCAAATGAGACATTACTGAAAGAAACACTTGGAATCTTCCACATCCGCCTATTCTCTCGAGAATTTCTTCCGGATGGTGATTTTTATCCATTGTTATATATTATATTTATATTTGTGTTATATTATATTCTAACACAATAACCGTTAATATTCTATTAATATATAAATGGTAACGTTACATAAAAACCATCTTATTTGTTATCACAAGTGAGGTACACTTGAGGACTAATCAGTTACGCGTTAATGGAATTAGCATACTAGTCTTGAATATTTAAGGTTTATGAACACTTCTTACATGTGACCTGATTTATTAAAATTTAAGAAAAATGAGAGGCGGAGGGCTCCATGTCTGAATGTTTATTGCGATCACCATATCAACAGACATTAAAGTCATTTAACTGGCTGAAACAGCTGATATAGTAAAGTACTTAAAGAAGGCAATTTTCGAATCTTGAAAGATTTATTACGAAGAGCATTTAGTTATTACTCCAAGAGCCATATCCTAAGGTAAAATTGCTTCGAGTAAAGACAGGCAAACATAAGACTCGATTCTTCATTTCACAGTGACTATATATATATATTCATGCCATGTGAACACCGTGTTTCATATGACTATTAAAGCAAATGTTGTTAATATATCGGTACTAAGGTCGGCGTATTTAACACTCTTTTGAAGAGTATAGTGCAACGTTAAGCTAGAACGGTTAAAACGTATTTGTATCTGGGGACCCAAATTTGCCGAGCTGGTTGTTTTCTCGAGTAACTGTGCATGTCTATCCATCCAGCAGCGTTTCTTCTAAAAGTTTTAAGGTAGTAAAAGTGAAAAGTGTTTACAATTCCATGAATGAATTTTGTAAGAAATCACATGAAATGTTAATACGATGTTTAAGGTTAAGGTATGCATGCTCCTTTCAGGTTATTTAAATCGTAGTAACTCATGTAACCTCACTAAGACAATAAGAAATAACTAATTAACCGACATCTATTTGCAGATACACGCGTACTTACCTGAGTGTACATGTATTACTATATCAAAACTATAAAAATGCTTACATAACAGGTGAAGTTGTCAAAACAATTGTAAAGGTAGATAATGGCTTGTGTCATAATTACAAACAGTTGTTGAACTATTCTGTAAAATGTGGTCGTTTAATTTTTTTATCACCCTCATACATATTAAAATGTTATAAAATAAGGAAATCCTTCCACGGCAAGGACAAGGTTATTAGAAAAAGAAAAAAAAATAATTGAAGCGAGTAAACGTGCTCCCCTGATATTTACATGTAACGTGGCACATGTTAACTATCCCTCATCTTCCCTGCACCAACACACCAGCACAGGCGTTAGCGGAAAAAGATTGTCCAAACTTGTCTAGACAGTCATATAAATATCACTTCCAAAGTGGTAAAAGTGAATGTTTAAATGCTGTGTTGACTATATGCACCATTAACCAGTTTAAACTCCCAAGCAGTGCTTATGGTGTTGACCTTTCCAAGATGGTGCCCTTCTGTGTTTCTCAGATGTATGTCTTGTTTATTGAGACATGCCGGTACATTTTTGGTGACACTTTTGTGTCTCTTTTTTTCTCGTTTACGGTAAATATTTTCCTTCCTCCCTCGTTTTTTCTTCTTTAATTATACCCTCTCCCTGTCTTTCTGGCCTTTCCCCTACAACCTTATTCTTAATTAGGTCTTTTAATTAATTTTCTTCTTTTGTTACCTTGTGTGTTTCTATGGTTTCCTATTTTGAATGGTTTATAATGACGTCCGAGGTTTGTCCGTGTACCTCGTCTTGTTTTGTATCCTGCTGGGCTCCTTGCTAGTGGTCCTGTTCATTTAATGTCACCCTTTCTTGTTAATTTTGTTTTTCATAATTATGTTATTATTAAATCTAAAATATAAAGTAATAGTGGTTGTCGTCTCTATTTATAACATTTTGTAATAGTAATAAGTATTTTACCTTTAAAAAGGGTCTCCAAATACAAGCATATCGTCTTGTTTAATATTTCATTCCGGTAGCAGGAAGCACTTCGTGCTTTAAATGTTGTTGTTCCAATGCCATTGTATACACATCCGCGATTACGGATTATTAGATTTTGTTCGGTAATAACCCTGAAAGGGAAACATGGGCACAAACCTGTACCTGATTTTCGTATCTGTGTATTTCTCTGAGAAATATTGAACCTGATTAGATTTTGCCAGTATACGGAAGCTGCCGTCTATGTAACAATTAAGTCTCAGTGTTGACAAAAAAGTTTGTTGGTCCTTAACAAATACTAGTATACATTTTTATAAGACATTTAAGTTAGCGACATATAACGGGAGTTCACGATCTGTAGAATTATTTGCAAGCAATGACGGCTAAAAAAAGAAATGACACAGTGACACATAAAACGAACTATCTGTTTGAATTCGATGAATATTTCTATGTATCATAATAATACCAAGTAAAAGTTTTTCTTATTCAATACGGTGGATAAATCCTATCTGAACATAACAGTTAACTTGCTCAGTTACCTCCCTTTAGTTTCATTTAGTTTTATGTTACACACTATTAAGGGTCCAGCTTTATTGGTGCAGAAAGACTCACATGCCCTTTCATGCATAGTTTCAGGAACGAGAGGGCATCTGAATAGAAGCACCTAGCTGGATAGTTTCCTCACGTTAAAGAATTCTAGAGTGTTAGCGGGACTCGAACCCATAGCGGTTTAAGTGGTTCGAAGACGGCGACCTTAATCACACGGCCACAGAGCCCCTTAGAGCTAATCATACCAGGCAATTAAGCATATTAATGAGAAAATAGTTGAATGACAGACAGATTAGCTTCTACAAGATTTATACTTAGTGTCAAATATTGCTTAATAGATGATAATATGTGAGAGAGATGTTGCATTGTCCATGGCTTTAATCAAACAATTTTCGCGTTTCATTTGTTTTCAATTATCCCGAGGAATGTCCACTTTTCACAATGTAAACACCCAAACTGGATTTTTATTTTCTAAAATGTGAGATGCATGCAGACTCGCTTTTATTGAGCCTTCTTCCTATAAGCATAATGCCTGAGTCACAAGTGACAAAGTGTCGAGAACTGAGTACCGCTCAAGCCGGTGCTAGGGGGGCGTTCGAGATGTTGCACATTTTCATTATCCCTCATGTACAGACTCAATCAAACCGAGTCTGCATTTTTTCATGTAATTTTGCTGTTTTTAATGCTTCCGAAGAATCATTTTTTTCAGATATTTATATATCACAACAGCAGGTGTCAAGTAATGTGTGGTTGCCGTAAACAGTCGGCCCCTACCTCATTTCAGTGTTGTAATAATTTTTCTGGTCATTCGGGATCATTGACTCCAGTACTTTTAAGTGTTGAGAATTGAGTACTGCTTAAACCGGTGCAGGGGTTATGACGGATGTTGCACATTTTCATTATCCGCCGTGTACATACTCAAACCGAGTCTGCAATTTTCATGTAATTTTGCTGTTTTTAATGCTTCCGAGCGATCCACTTTTGCAAACACTAATAGTGAGTCTATATGCATGTCATTCGATCAGGGAATTATAGTTATTGCGGGTATATTCTGGCTACAAATTAAGGAATTCGTGTGCGTTCGAGAAAACGAATAAAATATGATAAACAAGATCAACAAGGAAAGGCGGCGTTCAATGAATGCAACCCCCATATGACCCAGCAACAAGAACCAATGGCAAGGAGCCCAGGCGGACCCCAAACAAAAACAGGACACGTTCATTTGTTTTCATTGATCTTGAGGCCAAATTGGATCTTTATTTTCTAAAATGAGGGAAAGAATCCCTAAGGAACGTCCAAAACGGTAATATTGAAAATGTTGCAGGCTCGGTTTTATTAAACCCCTGCAGCTGTTCAATCAGTTTTTCTCTTTATATGCATCACTTTTTAAGCAACTTTTTCAAACTCCACTAGTGAGTCATTTAGAGATAGAGAGTTGTTCAACTCCGAATGTTAAAATCATTTTAACCTTAAAATAGATTGGTCTAGAATACGATCATTTTTCATAGAATTTTAAATCTATAAAAGCGTCAGAAATGAATCATTTGGATATTGTTATAAACATTTCTTGGAAGTAATGTTAATAAGTGTTAAATTTCTTAGAAGTATTGTTAAAAAGTGTTCTAAGTGTTTATCATGAGACATATTATTTTGTTCTTACAGTTTATTATATACTATACATGTATACATGTATGTAGATATATAAAATCGGATCATGTATCTCACACTTGCCAACAACATCCTGATCTATATTTAATTCGTTTGAGGTTTAATGTCACATACAGTACTAAATACTATTATAAAACATGACTATCTATATTATTACAGATCTTTTATTGTAGACCTAATCACTTTTAGTAATCTTTCGATCTTCACTTTGAAATTTTTTTTTTCAGATTAAATTTTATCAACTGCGACATGCAATGATTCTCTGAGAGACAATTTTCATACATATTTTGTTGGCAGTCAGTATTGCAGGCAGGCAGTAGATCACCCGTAAAATTTGTAACTATGTTGATGAAACAACTAAATAAGGGACAAGTAAATGTACAGCTATCTTTCATTCATGTCACCTAGTTTATCATGTTCAATCTCTTGTACTTCAAGTATTGACATTGATTGACATTGATATTTCCAAAAGACCAGTGAAAATAGGCGAATTCTTTAAGCTGAGTGTAGTACATCTCAACTGCTGTACTGAACATACCGCACTATTATTTGCTATAGAAGTTACCTGGAGTAATGGTAATGTAAGCGGTTAACCAATTAATATGTTCTTATTTAATATTTATGCTAAAATTTTGATTTTATCCTTTTGTACTCTTGAAACGCCCGACAATACAATATAAATATACCAAGATTAATACAGCGTTTATCTGTGTGCATTTCCGATGCACGAAAATTCGTCGAAAGACATTTGGTTTATGTCTTAATATTAAGAATTATTGTGGAAAAAAATACCGTGTTTTCAAATGCGACAGATCGTCGATATCAACAATTGAGTATAAAAGGGGCTACACAAGCTAGTTATAATGGATTAAACTGACATTATATCCATCCAAGGGACAGGTGAAAGTCAACATA